CTTAGGATCTTTCTTGGTGATGTAACCTTTGATTCAACTGGCTTGACGCCTGGGAGGGGGGCTTGTGACCTAATTAAGGCCGCTCGCGCCCCCTACGCAGTCTGCGTCTCTCCCGCGCTCGTGCTCTCTGATCACTACCTAGCCTTAATTAGGTCATAAACCCCCAACTTCCAGGCGCCAAGCCAATTGAATCCACGGGTACCAGTAATAATAAGTCAGATGCACGGTGGCTCATACGAAGTCAATTATTTAAATACAGGAAGCTCACAAGGGAAGGACCAGAAGTCGAACTTGCCTTTCCACGTGATACATACACCAACCTGAAAAACATCAAACGCTGCCAAGACTGGCTTTATTATATGCCGAGCGCTTTGGTAACCGAGCTATGAGTGTTTTTTGGCTCAAAAGTTTGAATGCTCACAATTTGTCAAAGATTTCGCAAATGTCCCATTGTTAAGTACCCAAGCACTATTTGCATCAAAACCTTTTGTCTAAAATACTTGTACCACTTCTTTATTCAAAGCTGGAAAGGCATAACCATTGAATTTACTATTTTGCGTTTTTCGCTTCTAAAAAACACTCATAACTCAGTGTTTAAAGGCGCTTGGCAAATTCAAATACAGTTTTGAATTCAGCGTTTGATCCTCTTCAGAACGGTATAAAACTTATCTGGAGAGCCAATTTCTACTTTACGTCTTCCCGTTCTTAGGAACCAGGGTTGGGTGGACATATGTATCTTTAAACTCCTAAAACAGTTAAAAAAACAGACACATACCTTTGAACTGTGTGTGTCGATGAAAATGAGCATTCCTTATATTGTTTGGCAAAACTCACGTTATCTGTGATGGCGAAATTGTTGCTGAAGAGCGAAATGAAAACCGACTGGGAGGCCAGAATATGGAGAGAGCAGCTCTTTTCGCTTGGCAATTCCACAAAAACTCAAAAAAAAACACACAGTTCTTCAGACTATATACTCTTTTAGGCTGAACATAAAGCTACTGCCGGACAGGCGCAAAACTTAGGGTCGCGGATGCCTTTTAATTAGCCACACAGCTCATGAGAAACACGATTCAATAATATGAATAATTAAATTTGTATTTATTAGGTTAAAAACTAAGTTTTGCAACTGGTCTCATAACTTCCCTCCCACTCAACATGGCGCACTCAAATTTTGCCTCTGCGTTGGGTGTTACGTAAGCTACAAGCGCAGCTGCTGTCCTACCAAATTCTGACGTCGCAGTGAGGGTACCGGTAGGTGCATGGTATGAAGGGGAAAAATTCAAAGTTTGACGGATTTGGCTGAAACTTGTCATAGGGGTGTTATCCTACATGCTGATTACGAAAACGATAGTGAAAGTGCGTGATAAGTGCTTTTTTGCAGGATTACTGTAGGTGTACGATATGGGGTCTCGCCCTAAACAAGGAAAAGGCGTTGATTCAACAAATGAATGTGATATTCGAGTTTGGCAGGTCAAATAATCTTACTATGTAAAGTCTCGGCGAAATTCGAGCTTTGGACTCTTTAGTCATTGACGGTCATCCCCAGCAGCTCTTGCGTACATCGACTCGTTCGACTTTATGAGGACGTCAAATCTCGACATGGCCCTAAATTTTGTTTTTTTCTTGCTAGGCCAAAGGAGTCAACCTCCAGCAATAATTTGTAGACGAATTCGGATTACTACGCATGGTCTAGGCTGCCAAAAGCTTCACTTTAGCTTGAAACCCCAAAAATTCTCAAATTTCACTAGTTTTCGAAAAACGCTTGAAACTTTTCTCTTTCGTGTTCAAAATTTAGACAAATTGTGCTGGCTTGTAGATCACATTGCCTTCTACTTAATGCCAAAGTTTGAGTGTGCCATACCCAAAGAGAGTGAAGTTATGAAACCAGTTGCAAAACTTTGTTTCCAGCCTAATATTTTATTATGTATTTTAATTTTAAAACTTGATTATGCGCGGCGCCGCGGTCGCAATCGCTCAACTATATGTATCTCCTTCGGAGTGCCTTTCTATCATCCGGTAAACGAACGCTTAAAATTAACTGACTTTAGCACACGAGATACAGATATGTAAACCCACTGCCAGTTTCGAGTTCCCAAAAATTGGCAAGATGGGTGGGTTCCTTTAGCGCGAGAGTTGCGCCGCTCTGCCCCATGTCTTCCGCTCTTGCTGCGCTGTTGGCGCTTTCGGGGCTCCATGATGGACCCAAACCTCGGGCGCATGCGTTTATGGCACTGCTTCCTAATAGTGAATAGAGATTTCAGTGGATTTCGTACCTTCATGGCTACGCATTTTTAGCATACTCTTTCAAGAGGAGAGTGCTGGCCAGAAAACGCTAAAACTTCTTCGACACTTTAGACGATGAACCGTAGGCGCAGTCTTGTTCAATTTTAGAACGCCTAGTTACTTTCTTTCCACCGAAATATATTTTTGACGATCAATGTTGACAAAGGCTTTTTTCAAACTTGGTACGTAAATATTCTTGCTTTCAAGGTATGTCTTGACTCATTTGCACGCAAACCAACTAAATTCATTCTCTTTGGTCAACCTCAACGTTTGGGTTATCATTTCGGAGGGATTTAGGGTCATTGTAGGTGGTCATCGTCGACCTCAAATCTTTGCCTAATGTCGCGAAGATAAATTTTTGCGAAAAAGTCGCTTATTTTGCATTTAGTATCATCGCATCTTCTACACACAAAAAACATTACATTACTCTTCTTATTTCATCAAGAGACTGCAGTTACAAAAGACATGTCCACGTACTCCAGCGCCAAAATGTGCGCGCGAATGAAGCTCTTTGGCGTTTTTTGGAAAAGCGTATGCATTTGTGAAGTTTCAAGCAATGGAACTTTTCGCAGCTACCGTTAACGTTATTCCGCTTGGAACACTGCTTACAACAACCAGTACTCGTAAAACTTGAAAGAGCTCTCAAATGGATCTCAGTTCTTAAAAATTGATGAGAAAGTTTCATAGTAATGATTTCAAGAATTATGTATTACGCATCGAATGGAGTTGGTGTCCTGCTGCGTTAGAAAAGATAGTGTCCGATTTAAGTCTGTACCATACTACTAACATCTACCGTAATCGAGGACGTTGATTGGTGTGTTCCGAAAGGATGCAAGTTGTTTGCGTTTGAAGCTCAATTTTCAGCTACGCAATGGTCATCCGCGTGAAAAATAGGTATTTATGTTTAGACTAAACATTGCCTACAATGACGCTGGAGAATCAACTGATGCGGAACAGTAGAGTAGAAATAAAGGGGCAGCTTCAATGCTCGACTAGAACTATTCGTGGAAATTTAGGTAGACCTCCCTCTTACAGGCTTACTTTATAATTTTCGAATTCGCTTCATCATAGATGTTCACTGTCGATCGAGTTTACAATTGTGGTTGCTGTGCAACACTATATGTAGATCATACCATCAAACTCCTTCGGCCCTTCAAAAACTGACCAGGAAGATAGATACCATTCCCCTTTTTTCCCATTTGGCGCCCTCATTTCCTTGTACCTGCAACGGGTAGGGGAACGAAGGCCGCCAGTTTGAGCCTCCTTACGCGACCAACTGGTACTTTTGCTGCATGTCGTTCCACCAGTAGTTCAGACGGCCCAAACTGGCGGCTTTCGTTCCTCTACCCCAACGAGTCTGAACACAAATTGCTCCTCGTTACTTTTGTACATTTATCTGACTTCACTTCAATGGCATTCCCTTTTGAAAGTGACGTTTTAATAGTTGATCAAGCCTTCCTGAACAGGGCATGGCACGGTTTGCCATCTGAAAGCGTTGGAAACAAAATCCCATTCAAATTCCCATTTGCAAACTTCTCTGTGAAAATGGGCATGCCTTCATCCGTGCATTACAATAAAAAAATCGATTATTACAACGACTGAGAGAAAAGATTATAACTTGGAAGGATTATTTATGTTTTTTAAATCGAACATGAAGCATTATTGATTTGGAAGCTCTCCATAATTGCCATTTGTTTGAAATTTTGAAACATATCGACTATATGATAATGCAGAATGACGAAGCATCTATTACATTCGAGTGTTAGTCGTCGGTTACAAGCATTTAACACTATGTGATATTTTAGCCAGCGGAAAGTATCTATATAACTGCGCTTGACATTATCTTTTTCTCAGCAAGAAAATGTTAAAAAACATTTTCGCCACTTCGAGATCCAACAATAGCAAAGACTATAACTTCAAAGAGGTTCTTGAGTTGATGTGGGGTGGTGTCCAAACTATTTGTGATGTTGAATAGGATTCTTCTAACAACATCACTTTCTTACTTTTATTGTAAGTTAATGCACTCAAAATTTGTCTCATCTTCGTATTGTTATGTTGTTACCCGAATAGAAGGGTTTGCTGATTATGTATTATATCGCTAAAGTTCCCAAAAATTTAACGACAGCTTTGATATTTCTTCCTATATCTGAAAAAATACTGAAAAAAGTCATTTGTAGGGCTCGGCACAGGTGACTTGGTAAGCAAGCTAGATTTCGTTTTTAGGATAAACAGCAAAAGGTGGTTTCATTTGTGGCCGAAAAGACTCAAAATTAGCGACTTTTTTGTCGACGTTTCGTTTCTTGAAGATTTTTTTTACGATTATGGTTTAGGGAGAGATAACTTCGTAAAATTTTGGGAAAGTCAAGAAGGACTTCTTTTTTTGCACTTTCCAAAAGCCCTCTTGTGCCGAACCCTGGTCATGTGTCTGGTAGGGCTTGAGCGTCTTTTGAGTGAAAAGAACTGAGGACTGATAAAGCCTTTTACGAATGCAACATTTTTTTTTGCGTCCAACCTGGAGAGTTGTAGAAAATCTTTTTTTCAATTTCATGCAAGTTTATTTTGAGCTAATGCAGAACTCCGCGCCATAGCTATGTGGAATCCATTCATTAGGAGATATTCCTACCCTGACCTTTGCTTTTTTCGCTGGCTACTATATCGAGCCAGCTCAGACCCAGACCTTCTACTAGCTCTTTTATTCTAGCGCTTATTGAAATAGGATGTGTACACTGTCAAAGGATTGTTCAACAGGACCGGAAAGAATGGATGCGCTGTTTCGTGTGGACGCTACTGCTGTTATTGGTTTTGGTGGCAACCACGGAGGCACGAAAAAGGAAGAAAGAGTAGGAAAGTTGGATATGTGCTAAAATATGTTATTGAGATCTTTGCAAAAGACAAAAGAAATGCGCTGCAGCTTGTAAAAGACTCAAGGTGAGCCTTAATGCATTCAAAGAGGGATTCAGAAGAACTGCGCATGGTCAATCTGCCAAGTTGTAAAGGGACGCAAGCTGTGTGTATGTGGAGATCGCCGTGTGAGAATAGCCATTGTATAATAACGCTGAAACATTTTCACAAATGCTTACCATTCCCAAAAAAAACATTGTACAGGCCTCTTTTGTTGGCTAAGAATTTATTGAAATACTTCAATTAACTTTAACATAGCCCAATCGGCAGCGTACTGACCATCGGGAATGTAAGCTTGAAGCTTTGGACCTTCCACATTTTCAGCCTTAATCATACAATGATGACTTGCTGAATACGGTTTTGCTGGAACATTAAATTAGGTACTGGGCTTTAGTCAATGAACTCAATCTCCATACGCAGCGTAGCAACCCGATTTTGATGTACACAATTTTGACAGCGGTGTTTCATGAATTATTAGCAGCATCTAGTACTGTGTCAGAGATCTCATAAATTTTATCTGTCATTGCGTCAGTACTGTCAAAAAGTCTACCAAATGCAAAGTGATAGCGCGACCAGATTACTGAACATCATTAATAACTGCTGCTATTCTTTCAAATTAAAACATATCCTACAGATTTACAGTAATCAACCACTACATACTCTTCCAAAGTCCATATAACTTATTCGATATCACGAAAAGCTCAATATAAATTGTATCCACTCTTTCGAGTTTCAGAAATTGGCAAGGTGGATTGCTGTCATTCAGTGACAGCATCTTAGTGAGCAAAAAATATCTTCTATAACAGCGCTTGACATCATCTTTTTTTTCATGAGGAGAAAAGATATTACGACAGTTACAGTAATTTTCAACATTGACAAAGACAATGGTTTTGGAAGGATTCTGACCTGCTGACTGCATAAAATTCCGAACTATACGGGTGCTCCAAAAAGTGTACACGCTGGTTGACAACTTCAGTAACTCTTTTCTTTGATGTCTTTCGGCAAACTTTGATTCCATTCTGTAGAGCTGGCTCCAGCTTAAATTTACAGTAGTATGGAGCCAATCACTCATCTCTCTCTGTTATTGTGATTACGGTAGAAACGTCGAAAACGATTTTAGGCCATTGAGAGTCATGTCTTGCCTAAGAAACAAAAAACAAGCCAAAAACTCTTATGCCACCGAGTTGAAGTCGCCGACTCTGAACCCAGAAGCTTTTAGCTTTTGTTTTATGCTGTGAGAGAGACCGTTGTTAAAAACCATGGTCTTTGAAAACTCACGCTCAGCTTTAAAAGTGTCGCCTGGATAAGCGTCTGCAATCTCACTTTTCAGCCTACTTGCGAACATGAACGGCGACTCACTAGGACGCATTGATATTTGCATCAATTTCTCACGCGCCATGTTTTGGTACTGGTCGTTATAAAAATGTTCCGTCAGTTTAGCGGTTGCGGAAAGCCAATTTAGTTTGACGGATTTCTCAAAAGTATCAAAAACTGCCTTAGCTGTACCCGTTAGATGCGCTGGTAACAGCTTGGCCATCTTATCCTCGCTCAAATTCATTATGTTCCCAATTTCGTTGAATGCATTGATAATTTGGTCTAGGCCCTTTGCGCCAAGATCACCAGAAAAGGTTGGTAGGCGACTAGAATAGGATGCCAAAGATAGCTTTTCAAATGCAGCGTCTAAGTGATTAATAATTTGCGGATCCATACTAGTATTGGTAGGACTGGAAGAAGAAATAGAGCGAGTCCTGTATCTAGGAGCAATAGGATGATTTGCGTTGGTGTTAGACTGCGAGCTATTAACTACTTTTGGAGTATTGTTCATGAATTGTTATTGTTGTAAAATATCGATGTGTTTTTTTTTTGTTTGGTTTTTTTAAGGTATGGGATACGAGAGGATGAGAAATACACAAAATAAAGTAAAGAAAGTAAGCTGAATGAAAGAAAAGAATAGATTAAGCTAAGAGAGTACCTCTAACTTGAAATTGATAGTTCTCAGGTCAGCAAAATACTTTCTTTCTTCTTTCTAGCTTGTAGTGGTCGATAGTAGTGGTTGATAGTTGGCTCCGTGTCCTTGGTTGCTCGTTGGCAAATCCTCAGTTCAGCAGAATACCTTCTCCACTCCTCGTGTCGACGAATGGATATAGTCCGCGGCCCGTGATGTGCTTATATATGCACAATCACGAGAAGTTGACCTGTAGCCCAGACGTTTGTCGATGGACTACAAGGTTCAAAGGCATTGCCGCAGCATGTGCCCACTTCTGGCGGCTAAATGTCACTCTTAGTTGAGTGATTAGCCATCAAGAAAATAAGCGCTGGGAGAGTACCCTTTAGAGTGACCGCGGGCGATTGGGTAGCCGTTGGGTATTCCACAGGCAATCATAAAAACGGCCAGTGAAAGTCCTTTCAGGCAAAAGTTACTCACAGTACTTTTTCTACATGTGAAAACTTGATTCGGTGGGGCTCACAGTGCTTTTTCCACTTGCGAAAGGTAAAAAGTACTATCACAGTGGTCTTTCCACTAGTGACAGTTGAAGAGGGAAAAAAAATTTGACTCACAGTGCTTTTTCCACTTGCGAGAGTCAAAGAAATACTATCACAGTGCTTTTTCCACGTGTGACAGTTATAAAGGTAAGAAAAATTTGGCTCACAGTGCTTTTTCCACGTGTGAAAATCTATTTACATATGTACAATGCCGGCTGTGGCGATAGAGTCATTGAGTTTTGTATGTGCGCGTAAGAAAAATCTGGGGGAGAATATTCCCAGTTGAAAAGAAAGGAAAATAATAAAGAAAAATATCAATGATTCACGGCTCCGGGATATCACGGCTCTAGGAAAACACGGCTCGCGGAATTCACGGCTCGCGGATTCTCAATCTAGAGAGTTAAACTCGTCCAGAAAGATCGCGTCGGAAAAAATCACGGTTCGTTTTTTCACGGCTCGGGGGATCACGGCTCGGAAATAGCAAAAAGAATGATTGAAAATCAATAAATGGAATATGTTATTTAAATGGAGTTATCATATGAATACAAACTCAAACTCATCGCCTGACTCAAAAAATTAGGGAAGAAAATGAGAAAATGAGATAAGAATGGAAAATAATAGTAGAAAAATAGCTACGTAGAGACGTAGGAGGTGAGGGCTGGTGCCGGTGGTGGATTTAAGCTAAGATCTGCATAATCTAGCTTTTTAAGATTTTTTCCATCAAGAAAAATTGTGTTAGAATGAGTTCAAACAACCCGGAACCTCCATGTCAAGTCTAACGAGTTAGCTATTCTCGGGACTTGATCCCTCTACCCTGTTGTATTGCATCTTAACAGAAGAATTCTTGACTAGATGATTTTATCATTATATCATATGTGCATAAAGGGGGGACAGAATTGGGGAGGGGACCACCGAGCACCCGGGGGGTGCCAGCTCATCTGGAGATTCTGGGCACCGCCCAGTTGGCGTGGAGACTGTCGGACCATCTAATTACTCTGCGTCTCGACAATAGTCAAAATGTTTTTAAATTCAATTTGGAAGACATTTGCTTCCTAAGGCATATTCAGAAAGACCAAACTACACCAATTTTTGGCATGCTAATTCCCAACTATATAAACCACTTCTTTGTCAATTTTTGAGAAAAGACTCGAAAGAGTCGAAAATACAGCCATGGTCACAACAAAGAATTAAACGCAGTTGACTATGTTTTGATATTCTAGCCATTTAAATATAACAAAGTAAACTTTTCAGATGTACAGAAAAGCGCAGGAGAATTGGAGTTTAACTGAAGGAACCTGGGAAAACTCAAATTCCATATTTTTAGTCATTCATTCACAGCAGGTGTCTCTACGAGCCTCGCGCATTTGCATATGGTACAAAGAACATCTGTCATAGAAGTAAGTGCGTACAAAAAACTTTGCCTTCTGGAGCGAAGCATTGGTGTTTTGCAGGCAAACCACGAGACCTACAGCAGCTAACAGCAGCTTCTAAGTGCTTGGCTTAGGAGCTGGCAATACTTCCTCTGACCAAGACTTTGCTTTTATTGACCATGGATCTAGCACGGAGTTTTATATGGGCGAAGCCCCCTCCCACTCCCCTCTCCCCTCCTCTCTGTTCATTGCTTATCCCAATTTACTTATGTAGGCAAAGGGCGAAAACCTATCTTGTATATATTCTTTTAGCGAATAAAATCTGTATTCTTGGAAAGCAAAATTCTGTTTTCCCAATTAACATAGAACTACTGCAAATTTGAGTGGAACAAGGGGCATCGAGAAGTAAAGATCAAGAGTGTTTGCAAAGTTGAGCGTAATGAAAAGAAATAAATGCCTGAACTTGCTACATGAACAACAACAAAGCGCTGGTAGTTACCAGTGCGTAATGGTCGGCAGATACAATAGTAGAAAATTTTCTTCTATTTATCTTTCTAAAGTCACAAGCAATACATGGCTTTTTAAAAACATCTTCAAGCCACATCGGTTTATCGGCCCATTCGTAAGCGAATCATAAATCTGGTAGATTTTGAGATTTGAATTTTGATTACACTTTTCTCTGCGGAAGGAAGCCGTCGTAAGTTTTGAATATGCTTTCAGAGTTTACGAAGGTCACGGAGTATTCTGACTGGAAGGTTTAAACAGTTGAGAAAATGACTCATGGTGAGTTCTCAGCAGTTTTTTTTAAGCAATCATAACCTTAGAAGAATTTTCCCACTTTCAAAATTTCTATAGCAAAACTTCTTGTCTGTGAATGCTTGCAGAAAGCCACTCTGATAAACTTATCGAAGGCCTTAGCTGAGAAATGATTTCTAGGATCGCTACGCCGGATTATCATGATTTACTCGCCGGATTTCTTAAAAATTGTGTGTAATAACTGTTTAAAAATCTGCAAATTCAAATAATAAATGCACTCTCGTGACTGCAAAGACGAAATCTAAGTAATTTAATACCAAAATGTATTAGCAAAGTAAGGTGATAAACCCATTAACATCACCAGGCACTCGGGTGGCTAATGTCTTCGCTTTCCATTCGACAGAGATATAAGTATTTGTTTCTGCGGGTATACGGCGCAGAAGAACAGCCCAGACTGACTTCTAACCTTTTAATAGGATTCGGCCAACTTCCATAGAACGGGAGTGTTCGGAATTCTTTTTGCTTCTGTAACGAACAAAAACAAAGAATTCGTCCGCGTTATGGCTGTAGGCAGTGCACCCGGCATCCATCCATGCGGCATTTCTTAGCTTGCCAATTTTTGAAAAAAGACTTAGAAGAGTCGAATATTGATGCTTTTTTGAAAATTTCTTCCTGAAATCTTAGATACTGCCAGCTGCCCAATATGTTAGATATAATGAGTGAAATGATCGTATTTTGCAATTAAGATTAGCTTGCAGGTAAAAGGGTACGCTGCCATGTATAGATTTCATTTTGCGAATATTACATGATTTTCGTAACTTATAATTCTTTTTTTTAGGCACCCAACATGAAAGTTACGTTCTAGATTCTTGCCGTGGTGAAGCGAATTTTTACTCCTTCTATCAGATGTATTGCAGTTTCGTAAGTTCGAAGCGTTACCAAACTAAGCAGTCACCTTGTCTCACTTAACAGTTGAGACGATTGTACCAAAAATTGAGTTAAGTAGACGTCATCCGTCTTATCACCTCGGTGCGATGTGTGCTAGTGCACCATTCAAAATTCCGGATAAGAAGCTGGGATCCCGCCGTGCCGCACCACACTAAGTGCGCAGTACCGCTAAAATTTGACGCCAAACTGCTTGTTTTTTATATTCTGATGCTTTTCTTCTTAGCTGCATACACGGTCTCATTTTCGGTGATTTGTCATCTCTATACGTCGTGCATGACGTTTTAGGAATAAAAATTTGCCGCTTTTACTTTCAAGTAAGGGAGGCAGGGAGCAATTTGGAGGATTTTGAAGTAAACCCTATCTTTAGTTCTATCGTTTATACTCTCTCTACATACGACAGGACTGAAGATAGCAGACTTACTTTAAAATCCTGCAAGATTGCTCATCTGCCTTCTAAAGCGATAATTTGAAGAATTTCGTTCTAAAGGCATGTACCACGTATAAAGGTGACAAATCATCCAAACTTAGACCGTGCGTGAAATTAAGAAGAAAAGTTGAAGAACAAGCACTTTGGCGTCAAACTTTAGCCGTAGTGCGCATTTATTGTGAGTATGCAACGGCGGGCCCCCAGCGCCTTATCCGAGATTTTAAATATGTGTGTACTAACACACTTCGCACCGAGATGACTAGACGGATAACGTCTACTATAGCTTTCCTATCTCCCGAAATTCTCGGACCTATGAGTCCCGAGCTCGAAATTTATGGACATTCTTCTGAACGTATATCACAGAAATGGTCTAGCCTGTCAATTGTCACCTAGAATACCACCAAATCCTTGGTATTTTTCTAGTATATGTGTACCACTTTTTTTTACCATTGGTCCTGTAATTAAAGCAAGATATGGCAATAACGGATACACTGAAAACTGATACAAAATAAATAGCGTTATCTTCTGTCTTTTGAAGTAGGTGATTTTTCATTTCTGTAAAGTTATTGTTAGTGAAAACTCTGGCCTCAGTATCTTGCACCTAATACACAAGGTATTTAAGCAATAGAGCATTGATGACGGAGGGTACTTTTTTGCAAAAGTCTTCGCACTTCAATCAAACCTCAAATTATCACCCTCGAAAGTCTCAACAATTCGTCCAAGTTGCATTGGGCAAAAAATTATATTTTCTTGCGTATAATTATCACGAGCGTAGATAACCATACAATATGGACCGATTCATCAGTCACTCTTTATTACTGTAGGATTACGGTATGAACTTTGAGAAGGATTTTGGGAAAGTGGAAGTGATCCTTGCTTCAAAAAGAAAACCAAAAAAGACAAAAACTCTTGTATTGGACCATGCTAAATCTGAATTTGAAATTTGCACTTCACTGTAATGCTTCTTTTATAAATTACTAGATGGCTTACCCGGCTCCGCCCGGCCCTGTCATTATTCTATTCGTAATCAGCATGCTCGGTTACCCCCTGTGCAAACTCCCAGCCCTGTAGCTCAAATTTTGCAAAAAATCGATAAAATCGATATCGATCGATGACGAAAAGTAACCTATGACATCCGCCGGGCCCGGAAGTTTATGTGTGCCAAGTTTGGTCCGGACCGGTTCAGAAATGGAATTTTCTATTCGGAACATACGTACACACATACAGACAGACATACAGACAGACAGGCAAACAGACATTCAGCTTTATATATAAAATTTTAGATTTTAGGGAAACATCTGTTTTTCTAGTGTTCGTCAGAAATGTGATCATACCACTAAAATAGCTCAGGAAACTGTTGGAAAGTTTTTAGTGAAATCCGCACGCCTGGAAACCTTACTGCAAAACCACATTTCTTTGGAATTTTTCCCATTCAGTGGCCTATTTCATAGTAGCGCATTATGCTGAATTTATACCGTACCTACATTAATAGAGAGCGACTGATAATCCGGCCCATGAAATCTATGTAAGTTGAACCTCGTTCTACAGAATGATACCCAAAGTTCGCCGAAAGATATGAGAGCAAGAGGGTTATTAACGATCAAACAGGCGTTCACATTTTTCTTTTGGGACACCCTGTATAATTACGTGGTTCTCGAAAGCGAAGAGATTAGTTCAAAAGCGACAATTTGTTTCGGGAATAACATCCAATGAAATTGAGAAAAACCTCTCATCAAATCAGCTTCGTACATTCAATGACATCTTTATTCTTCTATTATACATAAAACATTGCGAAATGGACATGCCACAAGATTAGAAGTCTTAGTCAGCGCCAAACATGTGACATCGCTTGGTATCTTAGTAAGAACAAAGCATCTTATATGAACGATTTCAAGCGCTTAACATCATTATATTGATGAAAAGGTGGTACGATAGCACTGACAGTTGCTATTCGCTCATGTATTGGCAAAGATGGTTTAGTAGAGGGCGTACCAATTTGATAACGAAAACATCCGTACTAATAAATGATGCAAATTGCTATTGGCGGAGTCATTCTAATTCTTTGTCCGTGCACTTCTTCACGCTCTCTAGTTATTTCCGTACATTCCTTAGCTGCATTTTTCAAACAAACCCAAAATGCAATAATGCTGGATTGGCATGGATTTTCTGGCAACAGAAACGCAAGCAAAGTTTAGATACAAAATCTAAAAGCAATACATTTTTTGGAAAAATAATAATACGTTAACTAGACAATCGCAGAAGATCTCTCTATGCTTCCCGATCTCCAAACTCTGACTCGTGCCTGCATTTAGCCTTAAAAGGTAAAAGCAGAATTTTACAAAATTCGTGAAAGTATACCAGAAGAGTTGAAAGCTATGCAATTACTTGTCTATTTCGTGACTATTGAAGTGATACCTGAATTCTTTGCAAATTCAAATTAATCTTGTAAATAAATTTTCTTGGGCTTTAGTGTGACCAAAAGCTGCGCCAAACAGTTTTTCTGGTTGTGAGCTTCTCAAGAAAAGTCAGGTCAGGTCGGCTGATGCAGAACCACGTATTCTGAACATTCTTAGTGCCTAAAAACTGGTGTTTGGGAAGCTGGCCTAACACACAAGCATCATACAATACCGCATTTTCAAAAAAATGACGCATAGTCGCCCGATTCATGTGACATCACAGTCGCATGTCTATATCTTGCTTCAGTACGGACGAATTCTTGACCCAGGAGCACCATTCGACTCAGCTTGGCGCGGCGCATCTTCCTATACAGAGAAGTGTCCACTTAGACACAGTAGGAGCCGGGTAAGGATCGTTTTAGATTTTTGCTTACGGTGGGTTACTCAGTGCGCTTATTCATTGCACTCGCTGAACAGCCTACTGTGAGCAGAAATTCGAAACGAATCTTGTAATTTGGCCTCCTACTATGTTCATGCTGGCACTTCTATACATCACAAGATGCGCCGCGCCGAGTTGAGTCGAATGGTGCCCTTGGATCAAGAATTTGTCTTTGAAGCGAAATGTGGTCACACTACGGCGATGTCACGTGAATAGGGCGACTCTACGTCGTTTTCTCCAGGACGTGCGAGAGGTATTGTATGTTGAAATGACCTATAATAATACCTAGCCAAACAAAACAGGTAAAGTTTTGAATATTTCATATTATATTGCATCATGACAATACCAAACGAAATTTGCAAACTAACCAATCTTATTTTTAGAATATGATGCGTCATTTCGTTGCGTTTACGTTACTGTTATTCGCTTTGCTAATCTCAGTCGAGGCGACTAAGTGGGTGCCGGACTATCTACTTTGCTCCCGTTTCGGTGATTCTGCGTGCAGAGCGCGTTGCTTGAAACAATCAGTATGCCTATGTACTCATCTATTCGAATCATCAATTTAAGTTTAAAATTGAGTTCAGAAGTGCGGAAACTGCAAAACAGTATTCGAAGAAGAAGTTTTCTTTCCGAAATGCTTCTGTGAGGATTGTCGTGATCAACAGAGGAAGAAACAGCTTCATTGACCAGATGCACGTCTTTTGAGGTTTTTGCGCAAAACACCAGTATGAAATCATTATGATGCAAGTTATTCATGTTTCCACCACAAAACGATAATTCAAGTTATCAGCAATATTCACAACTTAACAACCTACGAGAAAAAGCTGGTGTACTTATTTTACCATGCTAACACAATTCTGTTCTTTGTCCCACTGTCAAATGTTCAGAAATAGTAGATTTATGGAAGTGCACAATGATATACCGAATGAAAAACACATATTGGCGATTTCTTCGCCAGTCCATTGTCAGCATTATGTCTAATACACGTCGATGACCGCGTGCATACACGCGCCACGCGCATGCATGCCGTGACTCCCGTTTAACGCTTTCGTGGATAGTACGTATGCATACCATTTTTTAGGTGTAAAGAAAGTACTAAGGTAACATATGCAGTAACGATAGTGGTGACCTGATTGTCATAAAGAGCACATCGCAGTAGCTTTACAGGAGTTTGAAGCGCAAGTTTAGCTATTAAAATATGTCAATTGTGTTTTATTGACAAGGGAAGCATACTTGGCCGAAGTGGAGTTTCCATATGAAATGTACATTGTCTTATCTTATATATAAAGCTGAATGTCTGTTTGTCTGTCTGTATGTCTGTATGTCTGTCTGTATGTCTGTCTGTATGTGTGTACGTATGTTCCAAATAGAAAATTCCATTTTTGAACCGATCCGGACCAAACTTGGCACACATACACTTCTGGCCCCGGCGGGTGTCATAGGCTACTTTTCGTATCGATCGATATCGATTTTATCGATTTTTTGCAAAATTTGAGCTACGGGGCTGGGAGTTGGCACAGGGGGTAAGTGAGCATGGGGATTCCGAATACAATATTAGTTTTCGAAACCGTGCACTACTTTTATCGATTTTATCGATTTTTTGCAAAATTTGAGCTAGGGGGCTGGAATTTGGGGAAGGGGTGTAATAGAGCATGCTGATCACCCCCACAAATCCCAGCCCCGTAGCTCAAATTTTGCAAAAAATTGATAAAATCGAATCGATGGATAGCGAAAAGTGACTGTGACACCCGCCGGGGCCCGAAGTGTATGTGTGTCAAGTTTGGTCCGGATCGATTAAGAAATGGAATTTCTATTTGGAACATACGGCGGAGCCGGGTAAGCCAGCTAGTAGCTCATAAAACGCTGATTCCGAATCTACTTTTGCTATCTGCAAATCACTTCTGGGTAGGCAATTGTGGATGTTTTTAAACAAAAGTCAAGAGCTTGGCTGAGGTAAGAACAAGCGTTGAGTCTTACCAGTGCTTGGAAGAAGTAATGACGGTTAAATTATTGGACTGAAGCTAGTATTGACAATACCGCTCATAATTCGTCAAAAAAAGTCGCCGGACTGCGGCAGAGTGCGCCAAACTCCACTAAGGTCTACCGGAGTCCGCGTCACATCGCCGTATCTCGCTTCAGAATGGACGAATTTTGAATCCGAAGACACCATTCGCAGCTCGGCGAGACGCATCATCTAGTATATAAGAGTGCCACAATCTAGCAGGATATAATAGGTGTACGCTAGACAGTAAGTTTCCGCTCAGCTTCCGCGCTTCGTGAAATTCCGGGATTAAAGCTCAAGTCCGCGACATTCTGGGAATCCCACGACACTCCAGGAATTTCACGCAAAATACGCAGCACCATAACTTCCTTCGGAATGAATATATTCTAAATCAGGAAAGAGCATTGTGTTCAGATTGTCAAAGCGAATCTTTTATTATACTGCATGCCCTCTATATTCCGTTTCCAGTTTTCTCGAATTTTTCTGTGGAGGTCCCTTCGCAAGAATATAACGCAGCGTCCGTGTATTATAAAAGATTACAGTAAGCAATATTCGATAGCATTGCTCTTGTAGGTTATCTGCGTTAATAGTAGCCGCAGACTTTTTTCCAAAAGAGGTAGGAGCGCCGGCGAATTCTGGAAAAATCACGCGTTTTTAGATTCTACTCGATATAACTTCCTTCGTAATAAGGATATTTTGAATCCGAAAACAGTGCTGTGCTCATTTCATCAAGGCGAATCTCATCATACACAGCATGTCCTTGATATCTCTATTTCAATATTCTTGAAACTTTCTACGGATGTCTCTTCGCGAAAGTGTAAAGCAGCGCGCATTGTCTCGAGTAGATTCCGGCAAGGACCTTTCGATAGTACTTGTCCAGTAGATTATGATGCACTAAACAGTAGCCGCAGATTTTTCTTTAAAGGAAATAGAAGGGCTGGTGAATTGTGGAAAAATCTTGTCGTTCCAAACTCTACTCGCCATAACCCTAGATTACGAAGCTCTTTTGCTAAGCAGATGTGATTATCGTAATCAGCGGGTCGGCTAACCTCTATGAACAAGTTTTCCGAAATGTTCGGGTCATTTCATTTTTCCCGTTTTAGGCTCTGGAAGCTCGCCGATGAATTTTGGTCAAAATGTGCATCACGGTGGAATTTCGATGAAGTATGTGACCTTTACATTGTGGGCAAAATGCATGAGGACGTGTATTCGTAAGCTCGTAACTCGGCGATTTCTATAGACAAGAGCTTGAGACATGCACCGTTCGATGGCACGTTTCCTAATTACTTTAGCCTTCATAAACAGTCAAGCAGGTTTTCTGACAGGTACGCGAGAGGTGCAGACGAACTTAAGAGCTTTCGTTATTTAGTTACAGTTACCTCACCGTATCTCTCCAAAAAGACCTTGTAATCCTCAGAGACCACAATTTTCGTAAAAAGCGTGTTCGAAAACCTCTATAAGCGAAGTTTCCTTACAATTCAGAAGCAACATTTTGACCAAAATTCATCGGCGAGCTTCCAGAGCCTGAAACTGGAAAAAATGAAATGATCCGAACATTTCGGAAAATTTGCTCATAGAGGTTAGCCAACCTGCTGATTACAATAATCACATCTGCATAGCAAAGGAGCTTTGTAATCTAGGGCTATGGCGAGTACAATTTGGGACGACAAGATTTTTCCACAATTCACCAGCCCTTCAATTTCCTTTGAAGAAAAATCTGCGGCTACTGTTTAGTGCGTCACAGGCTGGGTTCATACTAATTCTCATGTTCTGGAACTGTTCCCGCACAGTTCTCGCACTGTGCTGGAACTGTGCGGGAACTGTGCGGGAACAGTTCCAGAACTGTGCTGCATGCGCTGCAGCCGCCCCGCACCGTTCTGAACGGCGGGAGTTGGAGGATTTTGACTGTTCTCAACGGTTTTTCTTCCAGTTTTCTCATTTTGGCCTTATACCTCCACTCCGCTTCCCTTTTTGATCAGCAGAAATTCGAACGCGAAGCGGGCTGAAGAATGAGCGCTTTTCTGCGCCGTGTATTCGGAAAGATGGGCTATCGTGCGATTGTTTATTCTGTCTTCGTGTTTTTTGCTCAAAACTGCTTCATTTGTTCCAGGACGCGGCTGTCTAGTTTCCATAGCCATCTGCCACGAATTAGGGAGTAGGAGAAATCCTGAAATTGCATGAGTTGGGACTTGTCTCTTGTTTTTCATGATTTTGGGCGTTCTTAGCTTTGTTCGATTTTCCATGGCGTTGCTTCTCCGTCCTTTCTTCTACCCCGCTTCTCCTAGTGATGAGAAAAGCTGTTAATTTGAAGCGGGCTTGAGAATTGAACGCTGTTCTGCTCCATGTATCCGGGAATATGAGCCTTCGTGCGCTCGTCCATTCTCTCATCGCTATTCAGACCTACTTCATGTGTACTAACAAGTCGCTGCGTAGTCTCGCATCTGTATTGAAATTGAAATAGACAAGTCTCTAGAACACATGAAGTAGGCCTGAACAAAAATAGCAGAGAAGATGGACGAGCGCACAAAGTCCATCTTCCCGGATACATGTAGCAGAACAGCGTGCAATTCTCAACCCCGCTCCAAATTCACAGCTTTCTCATCACTAGGTAAAGCGGGGTAGAAGAAAGAACGAAGAAGCAGCGATATGGAAAAACGAAAAAGGCTGGGAACGCCCAAAATCATCAAAAACAAGAGACAAGTCCCAGCTCATGCAATTTCAGGATTTCTCCTACTGCCTAATTCGTGGCAGATGGCTATGGAAACTAGGCAGCCGCTTCCTGGAACAAATGAAGCAGTTTTGAGCAAAAAACACGAAAACAGAATGAACAATCGCACGATAGCCCATCTTTCCGAATACATGGCGCAGAAAAGTGCTCATTCTTCAACCCCGCTTCGAGTTCGAAGTTCTGCTGATCAAAAAGGGAAGCGGGGTGGAGGAATAAGGCCAAAATGAGCGAAATCTGAAAGAAAAACCTTTGAGAACGATCAAAATCCTCCAACTCCCGTCGTTCAGAACGGTGCGAGGCGGCTGCAGCGCATGCAGCACAGAACTGTTCCCGCACAGTTCCAGCACAGTGCGAGAACTGTGCGGGAACAATTCCAGAACATGGGAATCAGTATGAACCCAGCCATAATCTGCAAAACAAGTACTATCGAAAGGTCCTTGCCGGAATCTACTCGGGATAATGCGCGCTGCTTTACACTTTCGCGAAGAGACATCCGTAGAAATCAAGAATATTGAAATCGAGATATCAAGGACATGCTGTGTATGATGAGATTTGCCTTGATGAGGTAAGCACAGTATTGTTTTCGTATTCAAAATATCCTTATTTTGAAGGAAGTTATATCGAATAGAATCTAAAAACGCGTGATTTTTCCAGAATTCACCGGCGCTCCTACCTCTTTTGGAAAGAAGTCTGCGGCTAATATTTAGCGCACGATAACCTACAAGAGCAATGCTATCGAATATTGCTTACTGTGATCTTTTATAATACACGGACGCTGCGTTATATTCTTGCGAAGGGACCTCCACAGAAAAATTAGAGAAAACTGAAAACGGAATATTGAGGGCATGCAGTACAACAAAAGATTCGCCTTGACAATCTGAACACAATGCTGTTTTCTGATTTAGAATATATTCATTCCAAAGGAAGTTATGGTGCTGCGTATTTTGCGTGAAATCGTTATTTCGCGGATTCGTGGAGTGTCGTGGGATTCCCAGAATGTCGCGGACTTGAGCTTAGATCCCGGAATTCCGCAAAGTTCACGGAGTTTTTGCACATTTTGTGAGCGGTCTTGTGATCTTGAGCAGATTTTAGAACAAATTCGATTAGTGTGACTCTCTACTATACTCCTCCGGTATACT